GAGCAGATTTTTTCCGGGGCAAAAAAAAAATTTAACGACTGCGGATTCGAACCCAGGTCTACCGCACATGAACCCAGTGTTCTAACCATTCGACTAAGCAGCCATTTAATCGGAACAACGAAAAGAGAACTCAACTATTAGACATGTGAGTCCATACCACTGTGTCGCGATTAAAACACAATTCAAAACCGCAGGCAATTGTTTTCTCGTAGACAGATAGGAATCGCACGTGTCTAACACGGTTATTGTCGCAGTCACTGTCTGCGCTGACGTCGAGATAGTCCTTCTTGATTGCCCCCCCCCCCCCAATCGAAGGTTGTTTGAAAAAAAAACAGAAAATAGAAATTGTGTTTAATATGGTTATTGTGGCAAATATAGAGATAGTCTTGTTTGCTGTACCACGACCTAATCTATGTATTAGTATTAGAGAAGGCGTTGGCTGCACGTAACTCGCCGACGAATGGTAAATACAGCGCATGCGCAATTACTAACGTAGCTATAATTAGAAATCACTAAAGTAATAAATATTAGTTGCGTATATTTTGGCATATATTGTGGTCACCTATCTCTAACAGTGACAGGTTGAATTTCAAACCACGACAGTTCAAAATCCGGTATCACAACAAACATATCCTGGAAATTTCAGCTAAATCGGTTCAGTAGTTTCCGAGTCTATAGGGGTGAAACAAACACACAAACATTGATTTTTATATATATAGATATATATATATATATATATACACACGCACGCACACACAGAGAGAGAGAGATAAAGCACCCACTCATACATTCACATATATATATATATATACACACGCACGCACACACATGCACTCAAACCTGCACACATTCATACATAGCCACCAACTTATGCATACACATTACATGCACACACTCATAATGCTTAAGAAAAGCTGCCAACTTAACTATCTGAGACAAAATTAGAAATGATATGATCAGATAGACTGTAGGAACAACAAACACCAGGCAGCAATTCACTGAGAAACAAGATCAAATAGTTTGGTCATTTAGTAAGAATGCAGCCAGAACAACTTCCAACACAGGCTCTCCACATGAAAAGGTCTGAAATGAAAGCAAGAGGCCATCCAAAGAGAAGATGGATTGATGACATTAAAGAGCTTCTACATCGACACGGAATGACAATAGCCATTGCTGCCCATCAAGCAATGGCTTGCAAACTGTTCCTCCCTTCAATGCCTAATGGGGAAAGTGAAAATTGATGATGATGATGATGACTCATAATGCACCCACTCATACATTCACAAATCTATATATATTCACTCATACTCATATCTGCACACATTCATACATAGATGGCAACTCTTACATACACATTACATACACACACTCATGCATGCACACATTCACACGGACAGACATGTGCATACACTTATTCATACACATGCATAAATACACACTCATACATAAACTTAACCTACATTCTCACGCATGCATGCATGCGCGCACACACATACACCAGCACGCACATGCAGTAATTACCTCCCTTATGAGGAAAGTAATTACCTCCTAGTCTAAGGTGATGTCAAATATATTAGATGCACCGACCATTCCACAGAGTATAAATATGATCACATACATTTGAGCAGAGTGAGACAGTAAATATTACCACATACAGCTGAGCAGAGTGAGACAGTAAATATGACCACACACATCTGAGCAGAGTGAGACAGTAAATATGACCACATACAGATGAGCAGAGTGAGACAGTAAATATGACCACATACAGCTGAGCAGAGTGAGACAGTAAATATGACCACATACAGCTGAGCAGAGTGAGACAGTAAATATGACCACATCAAACAGAAATCAGTAGATGCTGATCTCGAGTATTATTCATAAAACCTATGTACAAGAAGGGGCAGCCTGGTCACTTGAAATAAACAAATGTATATGATCTCCTGCCATTGGTTTCTGTCCTGTGTCACCCTATGATGTCTCAGTTCCAGGCTATTAAACTAAGTTTACTCAGGGGCCAACAGTTTGACAATGGGGATAATTATCAACTGGCAATGATTGGCTGGCCACTTGCGAGGTCTCCATAGGCCAGAATGATCCCGCACGCTGCCAGTTGAATAGCCCTGTCTTAGTTGTTTAGTCTTTATGCAGATATGTGCAGTTAATCTCTCAACACTTTACACACGTAAGAACAAGGTGTTGTTTAATAACAGTAGGGAATTTGCCCTTGCTATCTTCTCTTCCCTGTCCATGTTGTACCCTTCAGAACCCTTAGCTGCATTTCCTGTGGTATTGACCGATTGTATTAATTTTTAAAATAATTTTCAGCCTTTAGTTGAAGTTTACAGGCGTGATTCAAAGCGTCTACCAGCTCTGGATGAACCAACAATAGATTGGGAGGAAACTGTTTATTTGAATCTTATTTTGCATCAGGTAATTTATGTAATTTTAGACACTTGTTTCTCTTATTTCACTTAAGAAACTCCGTGACGTGACTTAACCAGAACAGAATGGGAGTTGTTAGCTTAAAAACATTTAAAGACACAGTCAGAAAGAGATCGTAGCAGTCATGGTCATGTCCGATGTGTGATGAAGATGATTGAAAATGAACATTGAACATTGTTTTAAGGCAGTGGAGATATGGCTGTGATGTGTGTGTGTGTTTGTGGGGGGGGGGGGGGGGGGGGGGCCGAGTATGTTACAAATATTGTGGTGAAAGAAGGTAACAAATGCTAAGATAGTGACAGCTTTATGATCACTCATCAGAACTGAAAAATGGGAGATAGAATGTATTAAGACCATCTTGTGCCATGTCGATAAATGTAGGCAGGTGGTTCACTATCTTCGAAGCCCCATTTTGAGGAAAAAAGAATTAAGACACTATTCCTTGACAAATGTTCTAAAATGTGACTAAATAAAGGCATGCTGAAATAGGGTATGTTGGGCCAAAGGATACAGATATTACAGCCTTGCTGTAAACTACCAAAAAATATATTCTCAAAATTTTTCTATATCTCAGTTGTTACTCATGTTTTGTTTTAGTAATCTGTGATTAGCATCCATTCATCTGAGTTAGCTATGGATGTGTGCATGCATGCATGCATTTGTGTGTGTGTGCGTGAGTGCATCTGCGTGAATGTGCAAATGAGAGAGAGGGACAGAGAGAGTTACATGTTTCTGGACCCTTAAAAGCGCTCACATCCTGTAATATAGAACACACGATATCGCCTGCCGGCGACAACAACTAGTCAGATCTGCGTGTTGTTGGCCAGTGGCTTAGCCTGACATCCCTGCCACATAACACAAGCACTGCAATTTATGAATGGGAAGGAAAGTCACTTTCTTTCTGTGCCTGAAAACATGATACATTCCCTTTGCTGACTTGAGATGCACCTTCTTCTTCTTCTGCATTCGACATCAGTCATGCTAAACATTGAGTCCCATCTGGGTCACAAATAGCATTGTACGTTTAAGGTCGCCACCGGTCCCCCATAGCTTCTCTTGCAATGTGGCTCCCTTGGGCCAGATCCCCAGTCTTTGCTGGGAGAGGTTAGGGCAGTACTGTAGTATGTGCTCAGGGGTCTGTCTTTCTGCTCCACAATCACAGGCAGCAGATTCTTTTATGCCTATCCTGTACAGGTGTGCTCGAAGACCACAGTGTCCAGTCTGAAGTCTAAAAATTGATGTTGGTTCTTTCCTGTTGTTTGTTTATGCTGTCACTCTCTGGTCTGTAATCTCCATTCTGCCTTCTCCACTCCCGCTTGAAAGACTGCTTTAGCGCTGTTTTGGTTTCCTTGTAGCTATGTGGTGGATGAGGTTGTGGAAGATTACTCCCAGCTTTTGCCAACTCATCTGCTCTTGAGATGCACCAAGGTTCAAGTTAGGTTTCCTGGCTCTATCCAGGTAGTTAGGGAAAACTAGCACTGCCATCAGAAAGCATAATGCAGTGGCATTTCATTTGCTTATGGTATCTGCAGTCATCATCATCAAGTGCTTTGTTGACTAATGTTGATCATACTTTCCCACTTTTTGCTGCCTTCAGCAACATGTATCCATCCTTAGTATGTCTTTCCATGCCTAGGAAAAAAAAGGCTGTCAAAATTCTTCGCTTGTATTCTTCCTCTTTCTCTCTTTCCTTAAGTTGTTCCAGTTTTTGAAGCTTCTCGGTTTTTCTCTTCTCATAATGTGGCCAACAAATGATGACCACCTCTTTGTGATGTTTATGATATTATGATATTTCTTTATGCCATTTTTAGAACGTTTCAATTATTTATTTTGGAAATTCAAAATCTTTTCAGCAAAACATCTCTGAGGTTTCCAGGAATTGTTTGCTAATTGACTAGCTGTTCAAGATTCATAGCTGTTGGTTCAAGCTAGTTCTATATGATTACATTATACCACATTATTGGGAGAGGCTGTGGTGTAGCAGCTAGACACTCCCTGGATGATCCGAAGGTCATGGATTCAGGTCCTGTGGTTTCTGTGCATCTTATGTATCACATGCTGTTTACAGGTGCTATGACTTTTTCGTGGTCATTGTAATGTCCTAACCATCAGCCCCCAAAGGGTCATGCCTGGAGGATGCCAAAATAAGCCACAGTTCCATAACTGAGACACAACTTCAAGAGTTACCTTCTGGAACATGTGAGAAGGATAGGACTTGAGAACCTGATTGATGGCAACATTCCAGGACAAGCAAACCTGGAGTTTTTGGCCACATGGATGGAATGATACATTAGAACTGAACTGATCCGATAGTCTGGTGATCATGTGGGATGGCAGAACCTGACCTTCTCCTTTTAGCAGGGCACAAGAGAAGGATCATAATGATGATTATTCAAATTATTCACTTTTGTAGTTCTCGGTCTGTGGCTATCTTTCATGTTTTGTAATCCTAAACTCATCACATTAGTTAGTGGTATCATATTGTTCTTGTGTAAATCATATTGTTACAAACTATATTTAAAGCTTGTATATTTTTCTGTTTGAAATTTAAAATGTAGTTTGAGTACACTGTAACATGTGGACTTTGTACAAGAACTGGGGAGCAGAATTTACAAATACTCAAAAAATTCTCACAGGTAAGTAATGTTTATAAATCATAAAATGATATACCTATTTTCTGAAAAAGTGTTTTAATTAATGTGAAACTTTGCACTTAGACAAGTTTTGAATTGTGAAGACATTAACCCCCTGGAGACGGAGCTTTTTTGGAGTTTCAGTGCCAAAAAGATTAAACCTTCTGGAGGGGATTCATAAAGTTTATACACAAAATTATAAAAAAATTAATTGATTGACATATACAACACTATGTATATTTGATTAGGAACTTGAATGAGCTAACAGAATAATTATGAATCAAACTGAAATCTCAAAATTTATTCAAATTAGCTGTTCTGATTTGCATAATTTATGCATTTATAAAAAAAAAAAAAACTGGAAACAAATTGACTAACTTAAAAAATGTGGATGCATTTTTTTTATAGATGAAGCTCGAATAAGTCCTAAAACGTGTTCTAGGAAGTAAGGCCCTTGGAGACCCTTCAGACACTTCTGGCACATGATTCTTCTCCTTTTCCTGCCTCCATTTGTGTTTCGGTTGCTATGACGCAACAATCATTTTTGACACTTTTGGGCACAGGTAGCCCCACACAAAAATCAATGTAAAATCACAGAACATGTCAACTTTTTTGAAAGCTGTCACTGAACAGCCCACTTGTGCAAGAAATGCGAGAAGCAATCTGACCAACTGGTATGAAAAACTGCCAGCCAATCACAAAGCTTGTTTTAAATATGGCCAACTCTTCGTATTTTTGGCTATTTTGTGTCGGGCCGATAGATCGGCCTCGTCGTCTCCAGTAGGTTAAATAAGATGTATACTACAAATCATAAAATGGAAAATCAAATTAGGTATATCTGTATTAGCAAAATGTTAAGATCATCCGCAAGACATGTAATTTACCCAACCAGGATGTCACACAGAGCGATAAACCCTGGTTACACAAAGTGCCACCATACGGATGAAGATCACCCATGAAGAGGTCCTGGAAACCACGTTTAAAAATTATGTTATATTAGGGTCTTTAGGCAACAGCTGGGGTGAGGCTTGAAAATAACAACAAATTGTGGCCCACAAGGGGATGTTGAATAGTTAATACAACCTTCAAGACTGACTGACTGACTTTCTACCCCACCAGGACATCACACAAGCGATAAACACCTGATGACACAAAGTGCCACCATGTGGATAAGGATCACCGTGGAGAGGTCCCAGAAACCGCGTTCAGACAATTGGTCATATTTATGGCCTGCTTATATTGCAGTTATAAAAAAATAATTATTAAAATTTTTAAATTCCCCAACACCGAAATATATATGAATGAATATAATGGTAGTGATCAATAAATATGAACAAAGTGACGCTTTAAATGAATTACATTTCTTTGGGCCTTACAAAAATATATGTATCGGGTGATCTACTGCCATAATCCAGCAACATCTATCACTTAGGCTTACGGGAACTTTGTCATTTTAAACTCAGCTTCTGTAGTGGCCTGTTGAACCTGTACTTTTCCAATTTATAAAATACTCAGTGTGCACACATGCCTATCAAGTTGTTTGCTCTTGTGCAAGAAAACTAGATGTCCAGTTCACAACTTGGGGTAGAATATTTCACACCTCTCTTTTAGTATGTGGTAAACATTTCATCATTTCCCACCATGAATCAGAGCTGAAACTACAAAAACACATGAAATGTACAACTATTTGTAGTTTTTTAATAGCTTTTTTCTAGGAAAAAGTGCCAGTACTCATAAGTCATTTATTATAGGAGCCCTGAAAAAAAACATGATACCCTTTTAAAGGTTCCAGTACTGTGTACACCAGAGAAAGCCCTTGTTTTTTTTTTTTCTTTCAACAATTGTCATTTCAAAACAGTTTGGTGATATCAGTACAGGTTATAGTGATATAGTGCCAGCCATTTTATCAATACCAATATACTGTGTACTGCTTCAGCTTGGTTTATAATCTGTATTGTTGATGGTAGTTTTGTCTTTCTGTTTTTATTAAGCTGTTCATGTTTTTTTTTTTTTTACATTTTTTTTATATCATCATATGTTTCATTATCTGAATTTAAAATTGCTATCTCCTCAATCAGAGAGTGTATCCGAGTCCAAGCAAAAGATCTATGGACAGTAAAGGCACACATGAAGAAATCACCTACCCAAATATATTTTTTACTGTTGATGATTTTGAGGAGGTAATTTTGAAATGTTAGTTACTTTTATCAGTCAAAGATCCCCATGTGGGTTCCAGGGTCCCATTGTAGGGAAAACAAAGAATATACCCATTGTGTCCCCAAAAAAGCATGTCGTAGGATTCAACTAATTGGGGGCTTTCTTCAGAGTCGGAGTGCAACTGCCCAAGCAGCAAGGAGCAACCAGTTGCACACAGAAAAAGCCAGTAAAACAGATATACACGCAAAACTCAGGCTTGGCACAAAGCCAGTCCATATGGTCAAAAACCATGGCTTTTGGCTGGAGTTTACAACCGGTGAACAAAGAAGAAGATAAGAATATTTCTTTTGTGCTTACTATTTATATTAAATCTTTCACTCCTAAGGACCTGTTTAGTTGTTTGCCTGTAGACTGCTATGAACGTCTTCATTTGACTTCCACTGACTGTACACTCACCGCTGTTGTCAGGAAAACATGTTTTTGACTTTCATTACAGACTGCTGAGGACCATTTTTCTTGGGGATACACATTAGCCAGATCCAAGTGACCCATAAAATACGATTAAACACTCTATCACATGCATATAGGTGTGAATAGGTTAGTAGGATGGCATCCAGGTTATCTTGTTGCTTTGTTTACATGGTAGCATGGTCGGTATTTGGCTGCCTGATATATATTTGCCATTTTGAATTAGTCCACATTTGGTAAGAAAACTGGTTAAAGCTGAAGAATAATGGAGTTTCATTCAAGGAATGATGGTGAAAATGACTTTGAAATGTGTACTTCTGACAGTGAGCGAGACAATCTGACCCAACCATGAACATCGACGGGACAAACCGGTGTGGCTGAGAAAAGGCTACTTGCATATCCTACATACTCGCAGTCGGAATCAGAGAGCTGTGGTGATGAATCAAAATGACACAAAATTGATCAAATGTCTTCCAATGACTTGAGGCCAGCTGTGCATAATTTTGACAACTCTGGCTCTGGCTGTATTTCTGCTGCTGTGAATCAGAACAGTTCAGTGCATGATAATTTTTTTTCAAACCTTTGAAATGGGAAACACTGGGAAGTAAGTTTTGTAATGGCTGACTTGAATTCACAAACTGGAGACCAGCAGGATGGTTACACAGTTGGTTAATATGGATGAGGAAAGCAAAACAAGAGGCGATAAGCTGGTAGAATGAGCAAAGGAGCATGAAATGATTGTCAGAACCTGGTGTCAGCAACATTGGAGAAGATTGTGGAAATGTCCTCACAATAAAACCAAGGATCAGTTTGATTATATCCTTATTTTCGAAATTCTTCAACAGTTGCAAAAACTGTGTCAGGAGCAGAGTGCTACAGTGATCATAAACTAGTAGTTATAGGGGAAGCAGATTGAAAGTTAAAGAAGACTAAACAAACCAAGAAACATCAAAGAAGGACCATTTCAGCATAGAAATACAGAATAGGTTTGATACATTGTCTGGTTTAGAAATTCTATTTCAAACTGTTAATCATCAATGGGAAATATTGAAGAGTTCAATCAGTCAAGCTGCAGTAGATCCATCCCATAGTAGAAATTGATATTCTGTAAAAAATGGATGACAGTAGACATTTTAATTGATAATGAAGTATGATTGTATTATTTAAGAGAGGTGTGGGACAGGGATGTGTAAAGACTGCAGATCTTTTTTCCTTATATAGTGAAAATATTTTGCGACATCTGAAAGATATGAAGGGAATTAATCTGGGAGGATGTATCATCAACTTGACTTTTGACTTTTTCCTTCCACGTATGCCGCTAAGCGTTGTGGGGAGATGCAAGTTCCTGTCATAAGCAAGGCGGGCAGCATCTGATGTTCTGAGGCCATGCTTTTGGCAGGTTTTGGAGACCCCGTCAATCCACCGTTTCCTTGGTCTTCCTCTTGCCTTATATCCTGAGCTTCTTTGGTTGAAAATTTGTGATGTTATTTGGTCATTTTTCATCCTGGTTAGATGTCCAAACCATTTCATTCTTTGATGTTCTATGTAGTCTAAACATGGTGTAGTTTTGACAGTGTTTCTAATGTCTATGTTCTTTATCCTGTCTAATCTGGTCTTATTCGCTGCTTTTCTTAGACATTTCATTTCACAGGCTTCTATTTTTCTTTCATGGGTCTTGTTGATTGTCCATGTCTGGCACTGGTAGCAGAGTGTTGGAATGAAGATGGTGTTTATCAATTGTCTTTTAATCTTCATGGTTATATCTGGATGTTTAAGCAGAGGTGATAGTTGGTATGTGACAGCATTTGCTTTCTGTATTCTTGTTTCTATCTCTCTGTCCATTCTTCCATCTTCTGTAAATATACTGCCCAAGTATTTGAACTCTTTGGTTTGCTTGATTTTGGCACTTCCAACATTTATATTCAGTGGCCTGTGTGTTCTGCTGATCTTCATAACTTCTGTTTTTTCTGTACTGATTCTCATATTATGTTGTAAACAGCTGTTGTTGAGAGTAGTCAGATGTTCCTGTAGATCATATTCATTTGGATACAGTATGCTTTGATCATCAGCAAAAAGTAATTCGTTTATAGCATACACGTCTGGGTTTGCTTCTACAGTGATCTTATCCATGTATGTTATGAAAAGTAATGGTGACAGTACACATCCTTGTCTGACACCAGTTGTGACTTTGAACCATTCAGAAAGACCACTAGATGTTCTTACTGCACTTTCACTTTTTTCATAGAGGGCTCTGATGTTGTCTAATAATTGACCCTGCACTCCGTAATCGTCAAGAATTCTCCACAGCACATCTCTGTCCACACGGTCGAATGCCTTCTCTTGATCTACAAAGACCACGTTCAGCTCTTTATCGTATTCGAGTGTCTTTTCACAGACTTGTCTTAGTGCAAATATGGCATCAGTGCAACCTCGCCCTTTCCTGAAACCGAATTGTGCTTTACTCAGTAGAGGTTCAACCTTTGCTCTTATCCTACCTTCTAAGATCTTTGCATACATTTTCCCCACATGACTTAGTAAAGATATTCCTCTATAAGTTCCACATTCTCTCTTGTTTCCTTTTTTCTTCCAGATAGGTACTACAACTGATCTTTGCCAATCCACTGGTACCTTTCTCTCTGCCCATGCTCTATTGAAAATTCTCTCCAGCCAGGTGATCATAGTGTCCCCTCCAGCCTGGATGACTTCTGTTGTTATTCCGTCGATACCAGCTGCTTTGTGTCTTTTACTTGTTTTGATAACTTTCTCTACCTCATCCCGCAGGATATGTGGTTCTAGATGATCTGGAGCCCTTGAATGGAATTCTGCTGTTTCATGTACTCCCGACGGGTTCAAAAGTTCTTTAAAATATTCCTCCCATCTTTTTTTAATTTCTTTTTGGCTGAATAATGGTTTTCCATTTTTATCATTTATGACTGATGTTGGATTGAAGCTTTCTTCTCTTAATCGCATCGCTTTCACACTCTTATAAAAGTCTCTTGATGATTCTGTACATAGCTGTGTTAGGTGTTCACCATACTTTTTCCATGAATCCTCTTTGGATTTCTTTATTGTTCTCTTGGTGTCTCTTCGAGTTAGTCTGTACCTAATGTAATCCTTTTCGTCTTTTGTTTTTAACCATATTTGAAACATCTTCTTTTTATTTGACACTGCTTCTTTGACTTCTTCATTCCACCAAGCGGTACCCTTTTTCTTGCCTTTGCCCGTCTTTCTGGTACCACACTTGTCTTTTAATATCTTCATGATGGTTGATTTATAATAATCCCATTCTTCTTCAATTCTTACTGGTTCCTTGGCAATATCTGCAAAAGCCTTTGTTATTTCTAGTTCAAATTCATGTTTGATATTCTCTTCCTCTAATTTCTTAGTGTTGATGATTTCTTCACGTTTCTGTTTATGTAGACTGTTTCTACTTGAGTTGCATATGTTCATAACTACTGGGCGATGGTCTGAATCCAGTCCCGCATTTGGGACAGCTTTTGAGTCTCTTACCGTCCTCTTCTGCCGTTGTCTGACTAGTATAAAATCAATTTGTGACGCTTGATCTAAGTTGTTCCACTTGTACCACGTTTTAACCTGACTTTGGCGATGTTGGTAGAATGTGTTGGTAATGTAGAGATCTTGTTCAGCACACAAGTTTAGCAGGTGTTCTCCATTTCTATTGCAATCTGTGGTTGTGTCGCTAAATGGGCCAAGGTATCTCTCCCATGGTGATCTTCTTTTACCTACCCTACCATTAAAATCTCCCATTACTATGATGTCCTCTTTCTCTTTAACATTATTGATGGTGTCCGTAAGTCTCTCGTAAAAGTCTTCTTTTTCTTCTTCAGAGTAACTATCATTACAAGGTGCATTCATTCATTCAGTAGCATGTCCCTCGCGGAACCTCGCTGCCATAACAACCCTCCGGAAAACCTTCCTATCCTGAGCAAGATGTCCTGCGTCTGATACACCCATCTGGAGATCATCTGCCACATCCTGCACCCATCTTCTCCTTGGCCTTCCTCTTCCTCTCTTCCCAGGCATATACCCCTCCATTATTGTTCTCTCTAGACTTCCATGACGTTTCAAGTGACCAAAATATTTCAATTTTCTTTGTTTTATTGTCTTTACTAGCCAACCCTCTTCAATATTCAGCTCTTGAAGTATGGATGCATTTGTTCTTTTCTTTACCCAAGATATTCTTAGAACCTGTCTGTAACATTTATATTCAAATGCATTTATGCGCTGTTCCGCTTGTTTAGTAAGTGTCCAGGTCTCACAGGCGTATGTTGCAATGGGAAAGATGCATGCTCTTAAAAATCTGACCTTTGTAGTTCTATCTGTACAATTCCATAATTTATTCAGTTGTTTTAGTCTTTGAAGAGCAATTGATAGTCGCCGTTTAATTTCTTTCATTGTGTCGCCATTGTTGGTAACCAGTGACCCAAGATATTCGAAATTTTCCACCACTTCCAATCTTTCCTCATTAACATATATTTCCTTCTCCATGGCAGTTTTGTTTGTATGCATTATCTTTGTTTTTGCTATGTTAAGAAATAAGTTATGATTTTCACTATTTCTTTGGAGTGAGGTTAATAAGTTTTCTAAACCATTTTGTGATGTTGATAGTAATACTGTATCATCAGCATAACGAATTTCTGGTATTTCATGACCACCGATGTTTAGGGCATCATATTGTTCCTTGTTTATATCATCTCTTACATTTCTCATTATATTTTCGGCGTACAGGTTGAACAAATACGGTGACAGCACACATCCCTGACGGACTCCTTGCTTGATGCCAAACCAGTCTGATGTCTCTCCATCTATTCTGACTGCTGCTTGTTGGTCTTGATAGAGCATTTTAATGAGCTGCACTATATGTGATGGAAAGCCCATATTCCTCATGATTTCCCAAAGCTTCTGATGTTGTACACAGTCAAATGCTTTTGAATAATCCACAAAACATAAGAACAGATTTACATTAAATTCTCTACACTTCTCTATTATTAAACGCATGTTGAATATATGATCTCTTGTTCCTCTTCCCTGTCTAAATCCAGCCTGAGCTACATTAATCTCTTCTTCCATTTTCTTATGCAGTCTTCTCATTATAATTTTTAGTAGAATTTTACTTGCATGACTGATCAGGGCAATAGTTCGATAGTTTGTACATAATTTCAAGTCACCCTTTTTTGGTATTGGAATGAAGATAGTTCTCTTCCAGTCTTTTGGCCAAATACCATATTTCCATATCTTTTCACATAATGCATGATAGATTTTTATGCTTTCTTCTCCTCCCGCTTTAATCAATTCAGCTGGTATCTCATCACATCCAGGTGATTTACCATTTTTCAGGCTCCTTATTGCCCATGAAATTTCATCTAATGAAGGTTCAGGTTCTGCCTCTACTGTTACTGGTTCATGTATATCATTCATATCCTCACTGTCATTCATATCATACATTCCGCTGCAGTATTCCTGCCATCTTCCTAGAATTTGTCTAGATTCTGTTAAAGTATTTCCCATCCTGTCACAAATAACATTTAACTGAGGTTGAAAATTTCTTGTCAATAACTTCATTTCCTTGAACATTTCGTTATCTCTTCCATTTTTATGATGCTGCTCTATTTTAATACAGTAATCTTGTACATACTGATTTTTATCCTTTCTTGTGTACTTTCTTATTTCTCGTGTTAAAAATTTATACTTCATCCTACTGTCATTGGTTTCTCCTTTCTTTTTTAGTTCCCTTCGTTGTTTTATTAGTTCTAACGTGTATGGTGTGATCCATGGTTTATGTTGCTTAGTCCTGGTGGGTATTAAGTCTTTAGCTGCTGTTATCAAGATATCCCTAGCTTGTACCGCCAGTTCATCAGGTGTCATTTCCTCTTGTACAGACATCAAGACCTCAAAACGGTTCTTCACTTCTACGTTGTATGCATCTGGTATTTTTGTGAGATCAAATCTAAATGGCCTTGGTCCTCGGGTAAGCTTTTTGAGTTTTAATTTCAGATCTGCTTCTAGTAACTGATGATCTGTATCGCAATCTGCACTTCGCAGGGTTTTTGCAGATGTTATGCTCGATCTCCATCTTCTTTGTATTAAAATGTAATCTATCTGGTTTTTGGTAACACCGTCAGGGGATGTCCATGTGAAAAGCCTTCTAGGGTGTTGTTTATAAAGTGTGTTAGCTATTGTTAATTCATTTTCTATGCAAAATTCAATCAATTTTTCTCCTGTTTCATTTCTATTACCCAATCCAAATTTTCCTAAAACGTGTCTCTCATTTTCAGCTCTGCCTGTACCTACTTTAGCATTAAAATCTCCCATTATTATTATTATATCATTCTGATTAATTTTATTTAATGTGTCTTGCAGTATGGCATAAAAATCTTCAATTTCGCCCTCCTCTGCTGTTGAAGTTGGTGCATATACCTGCATGAAAGTTATGTTTTTTGGACGGCCTTTAAGTCTGATAGTTAGGATTCTATCACTAACTGGATTATATCCCATAATAGCTTTTGCTGTTGTTTTATCTAAACAAAATGCCACTCCGCTCTGGCCTCTTACATCTCTACCAGAATATACGAAAAAGCTTCCATATTCATTGATAAAATGTCCCTTGCCACTCCAACGATGTTCACAAATTCCTAAGATCTGAATATTTAATCTTTCAATCTCATCACATACTACTTTAAGCTTTCCTTCATACAGACTTCTCACATTCCACGTTCCTATTCGCATTCTGTTTCTTAGTCTGACACAGTGGATTTCCTTGGTAACACAGTCAGGATTAACTCCGTCATCACGATTACTAGTACTGACCCCTGTATCACACTCTTCCCCAGTGTTATCTGATCTGCCTGGCCTGGGGGTCTCGCCACCAGATCTCTTCTGTGTTATGTTTTCTTTCATGATTGTTATGGATTCTTGGCAAAATTTGCAGAAGGTAGTTTGCCGTTGCTTTCCTCCTGAGCAGTGACTATACTAGTCGGTGGCCATAGCCATTGTCTCTACTGGTGAGATCATCTGCCTATCGCCGCAGAGTGCAGACCATAACCAACAATACCTGTCGGCTGCTCTTACACTCCATCCACCACCTGCTTCCATGGCTTCACGTAACCCTGGTTGGGGGGCTAAACGGGTACTCCACCTTGCCCAAGGGTGTCCCTTGGGCAAGGTGGAGTACCTAAAACAAGGTGTACCTAAAACAAGGTGCATATATCTGAATAATCGTTGTAGTTTTACTTCCTTCTGTCAACTTGATTAAAATAATTCTTTCTGATATAAATTCTGTTCCTGTTATTAATTTTGCTGTCTCGGGATGAAGTATAAATCCGACACCATGTTTTGCCCTATCTTTAGTGGGTACTCCGCTCCATACTAAAACATAATTTTCATGTATTTCTTTTGTATTATATCCTTTCTTTCTTGTATCTGCAAGACCCATGACGTGTATATTTTTTCTTTTCATGAAATTCACTATTTGTGGCTCTTTGTTGGCAATACCACATATGTTCCATGTGCCTATGTAAGTCGTTTTTCTGTCTCGTCGTCCTTTAACGTTTCCAGTCCATTTTCCGTTTGGGGCTATCCGTTTATTAATTTTCGTAGCAATAAAAAATCCACTGCCGGCTTGCTAGGCCAGTCGCAGTTTAAGGGAAAATCTGACCAGATGGACCCCATCCCATCTGGCGAGCCAGAGCCTCGTTCGCCTGTGGCCTCACGGCCACAGTTTCCCGGTCTGCACCACTGGGAGGAGAGGTTGACTTATGTGTACTGTGGGTCATCGGCAGGCTAGTAATTTTCACTTTTCACCTCTCCTAAGAGAAGCTAGCCGACCCCAACCCTGCTGGATGCAGAGCCAGGCACAGTCCACATCTTGCAGACCGTATCATCAACAGTATGAGATATACAGATGATATGGTGTTAACTGCAGACAGTGAAGAAGATCTAGTGTTTAGTGCAGACAGTAAAGAAGGTCTAGTGTTTAGTGCAGACAGTGAAGAAGATCTAGTGTTTAGTGCATGCAGTGAAGAAGATCTAGTGTTTATTGCATGCAGTGAAGAAGATCTAGTGTTTAGGCAGACAGTGAAGATCTAGTGTTTAGTGCAGACAGTGAAGAAGATCTAGTGTTTAGTGCAGACAGTGAAGAAGATCTAGTGTTTAGTGCAGACAGTGAAGAAGATTGAGTGTTTAGTGCAGACAGTGTTCACTCCTAGTCATGGGTTGCCTGACAGCCACCAATCTGTGCACTCCTAGTCATGGGTTGCCTGACAGCCACCAATCTGTGCACTCCTAGTTATGGGTTGCCTGACAGCCACCAGTCTGTGCACTCCTAGTCATGGGTTGCCTGACAGCCACCAGTCTGTCCACTCCTAGTCATGGGTTGCCTGACAGCCACCAATCTGTGCACTCCTAGTTATTTGTTGCCTGACAGCCACCAGTCTGTCCACTCCTAGTCATGGGTTGCCTGACAGCCACCAATCTGTGCACTCCTAGTCATGGGTTGCCTGACAGCCACCACTCTGTGCACTCCTAGTCATGGGTTGCCTGACCCCAGTGCTCAGGTGAATCAGTTTGCCAAGAGTCTGAATGATTGTGGGATATTTACATGGCGCACGCGCACACACACACACACACACACAAACTGCACAATTTCATTGTAAGGAAAAAGACCACAGTGTTCCTATATAATATATATTTCACATATATTTACATAAATATAAAATCATCAACTGCTTTATTGACTGGTGTGGATGTTCACGCCTCTCCATATGCAACTATGTGTATCAGTTTGTGTGTCGACCCCCTCCATGCCATAAAGGCTTCAAAAATCTTTGTATACACATGGGCGCTCGCGCACACACACACAACATACATTTTTTCTTCTTGAGAAAATTGTCATATATTTCAGTATAAATCTTATCAGCATTAAATATAAATGTTTTAAAATGTGTTCACTTCAGGTTTTCCAAGACCTAATAGTAAGAGATAGTGAAAGTGTTGCAGTGGAATTGACGGCACGAGATAAGCAGGGCCACTTTGCTGGTGTACTCTTCCTTGGCTCAGTGAAATATGATGCCCTGAAAAGAGTCTATGATAGCAGAGTAAGTCTTTTTGTGAGGGTATTCACATTTTTAAATCGGCTTTTGTTTGTTTGTTGACTTTGATACCTCAGCTGTGAAGGATTTATATAGTAAATTCTTGAGATGTAGCTGTTATTTCAGTCACAGGCATGAGGAAAGGCTGTTGTGAAGTGTATAAGGAGAAACTCTGTAGCTCACCTCCAGTGTCAGTAGGCTCTGTGCTGTATAAGGAGATACTCTGTAGCTCACCTCCAGTGTCAGTAGGCTCTGTGCTGTATAAGGAGATACTCTGTAGCTCACCTCTAGTGTCAGTAGGCTTTGTGCTATATAAGGAGATAACTCTGTAGCTCACCTCCAGTGTCAGTAGGCTTTGTGCTATATAAGGAGATACCCTGTAGCTCACCTCCAGTGTCAGTAGGCTTTGTGCTGTATAAGGAGATACTCTGTAGCTCACCTCCAATGTCAGTAGGCTCTGTGCTGTATAAGGAGATACTCTGTTGCTCACCTCCAGTGTCCGTAGGCTCTGTGTTGTATAAGGAGATACTCTGTAGCTCACCTCCAATGTCAGTAGGCTTTGTGCTGGTTTGTACAGATCCTCATGCAAGACTCCTGCTACACTTGCTTGTCATGTGCTGTGGACAATGGCTAATGGCCCAGACCGAGTTGACAGGGGATCTTGGAGTTGATAGCCCCCAGAGAGGCAGTCTCCTCAAATCCTCTCGTTCTCATCAGCCCAACCCCCACTGCATGGGTGATAACATCCCCCTCACGCCCTTATAACACATGACAGTCCTAATCAGCACAAAGAAGCATCTCAGACAAAGCATATTTATTCAAACCCTGTGCTACCAGTGCCAGTCATGGTCACTGACAACAAATCTGAAAAGAACCTTAAAAACCATGGAAACGAGATGTCTTAGAAGGGCTGCAGGAGTGACCAGAAGAGACAAATCAGGAATATGATCATAAGAGAACAAGCTGGCACAGAACCAATTCTAAATTACATACAAAGACAGCAAACCAAATGATTTGCACAATTAGATAGAATGCCTAGTGACACCATATCATGTAAGCCAGTACACAAAAAGCAGAGGAGGACATATTGCACAAGGTAAACCAAAAACAGGATGGAACGATAACATCAGAGAATCTCTGCAACAGCACAGTGCTTATGTATGAGGCAGAACCTTATATCTCCCTTGATACCCCAAGTGGTCATAGAGGAGTAAAGAGAAGAAGAAGATGTTAAAAGTATTTACAAATGACTAGATCATAAAAGGATCTTTGTATGTATTTAAAAAAAATTATCAATTTGTAGCCACAGCTTGGGGTTTTTAGAGCATTTGATGCATTATTGAACATTTGCGTTTGCTTCATCCACTGAAAACAATTCAGGAACATAAACATCGCTATGTTCACTACACATAAAAATAATCTGAAACAATGTTTTAACTTTTATTTTTAAAGGACTCTTTTCTACGTCTTCAGATGTGTTGGGATATAGGGCTAGACTTATATTTTACAGACCAGTAGGCACTGTGACGGTCAACATCCCCCCAGCCACCTTTACTTTCCAGGACTTTACCTGGTACCAATTTAAGGTTGGTTAAACAGGTAGCCAAGGTCATTTTTGAAAAATGTCCGGCTCTATCAGGATCTGCACCTATGACCGTCGAAGCCGCAGACGAGTGTCTAGCCACTACACCATGACAGCTCCCAGTGTTTTAACTACTAACAGCTACAAACAAAAGTTTACCTTTGAAAAGTAGCCAGGTGGCATCTTGGAATCAAATTAAATGCAAGTTGGCAACACAAGGCATATTTGACATACCTGTAGTTGAAAAACGAATGTAACTCTGCTGCACTGTATTTTTCATATATTTTTTCATGTTTTCAAAGAGTAAAGAGGGCTAATATACTGAAATGACCGGGGCATATTGAGAGACTGTCAGGGGACAGAGAGGTTACAAACTGTGTACTCAATGGCGTTTAATGGTCCTAGACTCAGAGGCAGACGATGGAGAGATAACATCCAGGCAGGCATACAAACACTTGGTGTCACCAATTGGAACTAAAGGGCCAACCAAAGAGATGAATGGAGGCGGGTGATAACTGCAGTAGTGAACCTCAAAGGCTTGGAATGCTGAAGAAGAAGAAAGTCAAGAGTAATTTATTAAATACCTGTCATATTTTTACATATTCATCCAGATTATTATTATTCCAGATCTCTAAATTTATTTTATGTTTTATTCTGTTATTTTACATAGCTTATACAAATGTTTAAAGTAACCCTGACATCACAGAATACCACGCTCTTGATAGTTCTATGGGTAAAATACATTTTTCACATGTCATAGATATATAGATTGTGCTTTATTTCAAAATGTTTCTTCTCTAGCATGTCACTGGAATAAAAACAGCACATTTTTTCTTTTGTACAGGCCAGCCTAACACAAAAACTGACTCAACGGATGTCAATGGGTTTGATAAAAAACAAGAAGCGTGTAGAATTTATGAAAATGAGGGGTCCAAGAGGCAAAGGCTGTGCAGAAATGGCTGTCAGTAGAGTCAAGGGATCCGGTCCTGAGACACCAGACCTGGAAAATTTCCCAGTTACAGATTTTGAAAATGGAGACACAGAGGTAATTATTTCCCATATCTTAAAGTTGGGCTGTTCAACAAGTTTACTCAGCATTGTGAAAATTGTAAGCGTCATAAATCACAGGCCCGAGTCACAGCATAAAAAAGATTATCAATACAGTTTAACTGGCGATGCTTCTGTGAGTCACTAGCTGACCACTAGGGGAACAGGCCTGCTTGAAACAATGGTGTGGTATTATAGGTTACTACTGATGAACTGAACCATCTGGCCCCTTAACAAGAAATCTTAACCTTTTCACAAAGCCCACTAGAAGGGAAATCCTTATAATTATCTCAGTCTACCTTAAAATACCAGAGAAATAAATAAATGGACAGATGTTGGTGTCTTGGTTAGATTTTATAAAATCTTAGGGTTGAATCCTGTGACTACAGAGCAGACAGGCAAGTCTGCTAGCCACTGCGATAAAGTGCGGCCACCCTTACCCACTCCTTAAGTCCTTAAAATATTTCTCTGTGTTTAGACATTTTTTTTAAAGCACATGTATAACAACAAATTAAGAGAAGTGATTAATAAGTACACACATCAGAGAAGTAAATGCATTCATTCCTTTTGGTCAACATATCAAAAATAGAATCCTCACCAGCAGTTGCTAGCAACAGCGCGTGGCATGTGATTCTAAAATCTCCCAGCCTGAAGACCGCCCACTCGCACGCACCCACGCATGTACTCACGCACGCACACACACACTCACACTCATAAGATTAATTGCGTATCCTTTACAGGACATTTGCAGAACCAACCCCAAAAGCCCCTGGCTGTTGTGTGGTTTTTTATAGGCAAATTTACGTCCAGTAGTTTGCCATTGCTTTCTGGACGGTGGGCTTTCTTGATACCACTGTCGAAACCAATGCAAGGCGCATGGCCCGCAGCTGGGATCGAACCCGGCATTACAAAGCATTTGCATCGACAAAACCTCCAACAGTTTGACTTAAACAGCAGCACATGTGTAGTCCGTATCTATTTTAAGATTTGACTAGTGCAAATTTTCGTGTTAACATATTGCAACTTGGCAGGATTTTGTATGCAATGATAAAGAAAGAAAATGGCAGGAACTAAGCTGATCATGTCAGCTAAAGCAAAATTTGTCTTGTCTGAGTTGGACTTAAGTGGACTTGACTATATTAGCATCTTATCTGAGTTGGACTTAAGTGGACTTGACTATATTAGCATCTTATCTGAGTTGGACTTAAGTGGACTTGACTGTGTTAGCATCTTATCTGAGTTGGACTTGACTGTATTAGCATCTTATCTGAGTTGGACTTGACTGTATTAGCATCTTATCTGCATTGGACTTAAGTCGACGACTATATTAGCATCTTATCTGAGTTGGACTGGACTTAAGTGGACTTGACTATATTAGCAACTTATCTGAGTTGGACTTTTTTTTTTTTTTTTTTTTTAAACGTATCCAGAAACCATGAGTTGCAAACCCTTTGGCTCGGTACTATGGATATCGCAACCCTTCGGCATTGATTCCATTATAGGTACCGCTAATCTGGGAGAAATGTGGCTGTTCTGCATACCCCCGGGAGCGAACCTGGACCACAAGGAGTTCGTCACCCGGCCGCCGCGAAAGTCAGGTTTAACCAACTTCGCTAGAGAGCCGGGCCTGAGTTGGACTTAAGTGGACTTGACTATATTAGCATCTTATCTGAGTTGGACTTAAGTGGACTTGACTATATTAGCATCTTATCTGAGTTGGACTTAAGTGGACTTGACTGTATTAGCATCTTATTTGAGTTGGACTTAAGTGGACTTGACTGTATTAGCATCTTATTTGAGTTGGACTTAAGTGGACTTGACTATATTAGCATCTTATCTGAGTTGGACTTAAGTGGACTTGACTATATTAGCATCTTATCTGAGTTGGACAAGTGGACTTGACTGTATTAGCATCTTATTTGAGTTGGACTTAAGTGGACTTGACTGTATTAGCATCTTATTTGAGTTGGACTTAAGTGGACTTGACTATATTAGCATCTTATCTGAGTTGGACTTAAGTGGACTTGACTGTGTTAGCATCTTATCTGAGTTAGACTTAAGTGGACTTGACTGTATTAGCATCTTATCTGAGTTGGACTTAAGTGGACTTGACTGTATTAGCATCTCATCTAAATTGGACTTAAGTGGACTTGACTGTATTAGGAGCTGCTGAGTTAAAATAAGTTTACTTAGGTAAAATACAATTGTTTTTTTCAGAATGGTTAGATGGGTTAAATGTTGTGCCTAATTAAGATGAACTGATACTTTGCAGGATCAGTATTCCCATCGTAGAATGAGTGATCCTAGCCAGGGCATCACTAACTATATGCGTGGCAGTTTTCGCCGTGCTCTCAATATGAAAAAATCTCGCTCTGAAACAGAAGGCGTTGATGCAGCTACCGATGAGGATGGCTCCGAGGTGGAGGCAGGTACATTACAAGATGGTATGAGGAAGCAGTTCCTGGTCTTTCACTCCTAATAGAGATATTGGCATATCATTTATTGCATCAGTTATTATTGCATATTCAAATCTATTTCCTCTCATTTATATCTCCCCTTTGTTAATTTTTTTTTTTCATAGCTATGATATTGTTAGAAGAAACACATGTCCTTACATTTTTTTTTGGTTTTTTAGAATCATAAATAGCTTCTTTAACTACTACTTCTTCTTCTTCTTCTTTTTTTTTTCTTATTCAGCATTCCCATCCCTTGAGGTTCATTGCTGCAGATATTAACCGCCTCTCTCTGGTTAGCCTCTTCTTTCCAGTTAGTAACACCAAGTGTTTGCAGGTCTGTCTGGATATTATCACTCCATCGTCTTCTTGGTCTCCCTCGTGGTCTACGACTATTCATCTTCCTGGTGTTTGCAGTTTTTACTTCTCTGTCATCAGACATTCTTTTAATATGCCCCAAGCATTTCAGTCTATTAGCTCTCATGATGCCAGTGATCAGTGGTGATTGAAACAGATTATGAATTTCGTTGTTCCTTCTCACTTTCCATTCACCGCTGTTTGCATCTTTGATGAGTCCAAAGATTTGTCGTAAGACTCCTGTAATAAGGCTTCATCTTTTTTAGTTGTGCTCCAAGTTTTCAGAGCCATGTAACACGACTGGTCTTATCAAAGTTTTATATATTTTGATCTTGGTGTTGGGAGACATACACTTTGACTTTAACAGATGTTGAAGGGCATAGTATACTTTATTTCCAGATTGTATTCTAGATTGTATTTCTTCTCTCATCATGTTGAAGCAGTTGAAGTTTGCACCCAAGTACTTATACGTTTCCGTTCGTTTGATTTTCATATTATCGACTTGTATGTGGCCGGAGTTTATATCCTTTCCCTGTCTAGTTATTATCGTATATTCTGTCTTATCTTGATTGATAACTTGTCCTATTGTCTGAGCTTCTCTAGTTCATTTTCTCCAATGATATCAATGTCATCAGCATATCCAAGTATTCTTGTAGTTTCTCCTATAGTACACTCTTTATCTGCATGGCAGATTGATGTCACCCACACATCATTATCACAATCACATTGGTAATAGATTCTCTACTAGCTTTAAACATTAGATGCTCACTTTCAGTATAGATAAAGTGTCTTGCCAGTGGCTCAACAACCTATGTTTGAAAAGACAGACAGTAGAAGAAAACAAAACACCAGCCCTCATATCTGATTAGTAGAAAGACTGATTGTGTTTTTAAAAAGTCATCCGTTTTACAGACTTTGATTTATCAGATAGGTATCCCACTGTTATGTATCCTCACACCTATCTTCTTTCTGTTTTTAGCCACCCATTCTCATGCAAGCATTTATTACCTTACTCCCATCTCCTTTGACTGCACAGCTGTACTCCGATGCCTGATTTCTTGAGCCAGTCACAAGTTTCTGAATTTCTTCCATGCACACCTTTACCGAGATAAATCCTTAAAGAGGCTCTTTAGAAAAGTATTACCCATCACTCAAGAGAGGCATTTGCCACCAAATCCAGTCCCACTTTTAGTAAACCCAAATTGATCCTACCCTTCCATCCCAGTAATTTAGCAACTTACATATTTAGCAACTTCTGAATCTTCCACTGACACCTCAACATCTTCTGCTGGGGTCTAGACACCTGTGCATGGGGGTTCATAGCAAAAGCGAATGGAGGTCGCTTAGTGCAAGAAAGCCTGGCATGATATCACCATGTCTAGTTTGAGAATGGAGGTGGAGCTAGTCTCTGCTGCCTTCCACTGGCTTGAGAATCAGATGTACACACATGCCATGATTGTAACTAACTCAGGGAGCATGTTGAGAAAGGTGGAGACAGGTATGCTCTGTGCAGAGTGGCAAGCATCACTTCAGAGGTCCGGGGTAGTTAGCATCCTTTGAATATTCTTTCCAAGGTCATGCTGGTGTATTGGGAAATGAGCAGACAGACAGACTGGCCAGTTCTGCACCACTTGGTGGTGAACTGATGTATGACAAGCTGGATGTTGTGAGGGCCCTTTAGGAATGAGTGAACAGTGCAGAAGCGCAAATAGATCATTACAGTCTGAGGAGAATGACGCTGCGAGGAGTTATCAGGGGATCTGGCAGACGCTCAACACTTAAGGAAAAGACGAATGTACAATCAGATAGTTACTGGTACCATCGGGGTTGGAACTGTTTGCTTGTGGGAGTGTCCCGAGTACTATTATATCAATTCTTTATTCAACATTCAGTATTCAATTGTAAGACATCTTCATTAATCATCCACATACCCTTAGTTTGCTTTCAGAAAGGGTTATTCCAACTTAAGGAAGCTTTTACATTTGAATGTGAACCTAAATTACACTATTATCTCAAAAAAAGGTAATTAGTGTTATATTGGGGAAACAGTAGGAAGTTAGCAGATCATTTATGTGAATAGCTTATGGATATTCACAGTGAGACGTCTCAACCATTTCTGTCTCCTGTTCTGCATGCATAATTGACATCCATTTCACTATCATAAAATCTTGCTCCAGTGATTAACAATCCCATCCCCTGTATCCTAATAATAGTTTGCTCTCCTGTCCACACCGGCGAGTAGACAACAGCAGACGACCGGTTAGTCGGAGTTCTGTCCCTTGGCTACAGTGCAAGTACGGACTGGAGAATCCACAAATCAAACAACAAAGTGAGGTCGACATGCCTGGCAGAACCCGCGCTGCGACTCAATTAGCGACCGCCTTCAATTACCGCTTCTTGCGACGCATTACGGAGTGGATTAGAGGGAAGGAAACAAGTGACATAATTACTGTGTGCTGGCGATAGACAGCATGCAGTGCCCTACTGCCATACTGTTTGGGTTAGGGTTAGGGTTTGGGTTGCGACGTTGAGTGTCTACGATACGTAACGCTAACCCAAACCCTAACCTAAACCCTAACCCTACCCCTAACCCAAACCCTAACCATAACCCAAACACAGTAATTATGTCAATTGTTTCGTTCCCTCCTTTTCCACTCCGTAATTGCACTGTAGCCAAGGGGCAGAACTCCGACTAGTTCTAATAGTTTAGCCATTCACCTCCCTTCAGGGATCAGTGATACATCCTGTCTTCGTCTAAATTTGGTCACTTAATCATATATTTTTCAATTATATTTCTCCGACCTTTTTCTGTTTGTCTTTTCAAATTTCATTTTGTAATTTCATTTTGTAATAGCTCTTTCTATCTCTAGTTTGTGTCTTTCCATTATATGACATTTTCATTTGTTTATTGTTTTGTGTGATTCCTGTAGTTTTATTTGTTGATTAAGACTTTGTTGAAACATGTGGTCGTCTTTGTGCATAAATAGCACACTAGGTCTTTTAATTGTTTCACCTGTTGTAGGATGGGGCAAAATTGTTGCATTACAGGCTTTGCAAGATTGTCCCAGTTCACACACAGTAGAGCTGGAGCATATTTCTAAGTTGACCTATAGACATGGAAGAGGGTTGTGAAAACACTGTGGTGTGGCCAATGCAGCTATGGGGACAGTATCCACCGGGACAGGTAGACACCTCTGGGGTGCCTTCTCCTGTTAGCAGGAGAATCACACAACAGGGCACTCACTTGCCTTGGCAATCTTAAGGGTTGCTGAAGGCTGAGGACATAGCCTTAAGCCATGTGGATGTGGAAAGCAAGAGGAAACCACCACATTATTATCCCAAGAAACTTATCATGGAAGCCAAAAATGTGAATATGAAAATATACGAGGTGGAAGAGCTAGTGAAAGACTAAGTTTCTTCCAGGGAGATTGTGATGAAAGTGACATTCTGCAAAAAGGAACTGCTACAAGATGATGATGAAGAGAGCCATTGAATTGACTGTATTCATACAGCTGGTGTTGAACACATGGCTTGAATATTTATGATGTTGGCAGAAAGCTTTAGGCGTTTGGACTTGACAAACATTTTTGCCTCATTTTTTGTTGTCTGATTGGGAAAGGACTTGTTATTCTTTCCTGGATATTTGTTGATAAGTTTTATTTACGATCACGGTTTAATATTTTGTTTGTCTACTCCAGTTTATTTCAAAATTAGGAAAAGTTTATTTTGTGACACTCTGCCAGTAGTCTTCTCACAGTCAGTCAAGCACATGAACAGGAGGGTCTATATTGTTTAGTCAGGCTTTCTGTAAGAAACTTCACTGTTTCAGTTTTATCTCTTTGCAAATCCTAAATTGATTGACTACGTTTTGTTATTCTCCTCTTGACTTAATTCAGTAATTTTTAAAATCATTACAGATGTAATTACTTTTTTTAATGCTTATCACCCTTTTAATTTTGTGATGTGTTCTTATGAAAGGTGTGTGACTGGAATGTGTAATGTCTCCAGATTAGTTTCCTTATAAAGTGAAAATATGAGACATAAAGGGAATCAAAATGGGAGGATATAACTTCAACAATATAAGATATGCAGATGATTCAGTGTTGATCAGCCAATCAAGTTTTAGACCAAATGGCCCAAATTTTGAAATGTAAACATGAGAGTATGAACACTAAAAGAACACTTTGACACAGTATTCTTACCAACGCTGTGCTATATATGTCAGACATGAACACTTCAGAAGACAGAAGGAAAATAGTCGTGACAGAAATGAAATGTTTATATACTATGCTAGGTGTAATGAGGAAAGATCCACTTAGAAATGATATCAGGAGGAGAGTTATTACAGAACCAATAACAAACTTTATAGATAACAGATCAAATTGTTTGGCCATGGAACAAGATTGACATCAGTCAGGGCACCACAGATAGCAGTGTTATACAGATTTAGCAGTATCAGAGTTAGAGGACGACCACGCAGAAGATGGACTACAGAAATATCAGAGACACTGAAAAGTACTTTATACAAAGCAAACAGCAGGGCCCAAGCCAGATCTCTTCCTGTCCTGACGCCACAAGGCATTCCTGGAGTAAAGAAAAGAAGAAGACAGTGTTGACTGCAGACAATGAACAGGATCTGCAGTGTTTAGTGAATGCAGTAATAGTTCATAGTCAGCAACTAGACTTAGATTTAAAACATAAATTATGGCTATCACTAAGAAAAAAGAAAACCCACAATGTATAATACATGCTAATGGCATCATTGTTTAGCAAGTGAATCTATTGCAACTATCTTGGAACAGTCATAACTCTCTGGCACAAGATACCTTGCAGAAATTAAAACAAGAATCAACATGACAAAAGTGGCTTTTAGCACAGGACATTAGGCTTAAAACTATTGACTAAATATCAAGGACACTCAACATACAGTAGAATGCTGAAGGAGTTTTAAATGAAAAACTTTCTCTAACAAATCGTCTTCATGAAGACAAAAGTGATGTAGCATGCATCCAAGACACACACCTCAATGCCCGCCACAGATTTTCTGTCAGAGGATATCAAGCTATACGCTGCGACTGAGAAGGGCACAAGGGAGGAGTTCTAATACTTATCGAAACTCTATACTAAGCAATATGGGAATCACCAGACCATAAGACAACTAATCAAATTAACCACCTATGTATTAACAAAAAGTTTAGATCATCCTTTTACGATGTTAGGACTTTCAGAGGTGCAGATGTATTTACTGACCCTAAAATCAAGTTGAAACTAAAAAGATATATAACATCTTATAATCATAGAAACCAATATAATGAGGGTTATCTCAGGGATAAAGGAGTTAAGGAACAGTTCTCAGTTAGTCTCTAACAAGTACCAGGTGTTGCAGCAGTTAGCTGAAGATGTCAGCACAGAAGTCTGCTTGAAACCATTAAACTGATTGAAGATAGGAAAAGTAAAAAGGCAAACTTAATAGCAAAACTAGAGCTGCTAAAGCTAGAGCTCAGGATAAATACACAGAAGCCAATAAGGAAGCTAGGAGGCATATAAGGGCAGATAAAGTTAAATATCTAAATGATCTAGCACAAGAAGCGGAATCAGCAGCAGCAAAAGGAAACCTCAGAGAACTTTACAGTAACACAAGAAAATTAGTAGGTAAATATAGTCAGCCAATTGGATCAATCAAAAATGGTCAAGGAAAAGTACTTACTAACACTAAAGATCAGATAGACTGATGAGTGGACTAGTTTGAAATGCTTCTAAATAGACCAGGCCCAGAGGTTCCCCCAGATATCCAGCCTTTAGAAATGGAACTGGATATCACCTGTGAGATACCATCCAAAGAGGAAATTATAAAAGCTATCAATCTTCTCAAGGAAGGAAAGGCGGCAGGCCCAGATGGTATCCCAGTTGAAGCCATCAGGGCCAACATAAACACATCAACAGAATTGCTACATAGATTATTCAGTAAAGTCTGGGAGACCGAAGAAATACCAGCAGACTGGAGAGAAGGATATCTTGTGAAACTGCCCAAAAAAGGTGATCTCCAGGAGTGTGAAAACTAAAGAGGAATTATGTTGCTGTCAGTTCCTGGAAAAATATTAATAGAATTATTTTGGAAAGATTAAAAGATGCTATTGATAAAAAGCTAAGAGATGAGCAGGCAGGTTTTCGGTCAAATAGATCCTGTACTTACCAGATAGCCACATTATGTATTATAATAGATCAAAGAATTGAACTGAACTAACCACTTTACATTGGATTTATAGACTATGAAAAAGCATTTGACAGCATTGATAGGGAATCTGGAAATTGATGGGACACTATCGAATCCCACAGAAAATTATCAACTTAGTAAAGGCAACATATAAAGACATGAAATGTCGAGTTCTTCATGAGGGAAAGCTAACAGATGCATTTGAAATAAAAACAGGTGTGCGACAGGGATGTCTTTTGTTGCCTCTCTTATTTTTACTGGCTATAGACTGGATTATGAAAACAGTAACTGCTAACACCAAGAATGGAATTCAGTGGACCCCTACAAAACAGCTTGATGATCTGGACTTCACTGATGATATTGCTCTTCTGTCCCATTCACGGAATCAGATGCAAGATAAATTAAATATACTTGATGTTGGATCACAGCAGCTTGGTCTGAAAATCCATAAAGGAAAGAAAAAGATAATGAGAATAAATCAGGCAAATAGTAATGTGGTTTCTCTTAATGGCACCCCACTTCTAGACGTAGAGTCGTACACCTATTTGGGCAGTAATGTAGATAAAGATAGAGGAACTGATAGAGATTTTAAAATAAGAATACAAAAGGCAAGAGGGGCTTTCATAGCACTAGGGAATTTGTGGAGGTTAAAAGAAATACTAAACTAAAAATCTTTAATTCTAGTGTCAAATCAGTACTATTGTATGGGGCGGAAACATGGAGAACAACTAAGACAGTTACTAATAAATTACAGACATTCATTAACTGTTGCCTGCGCAGAATAGAAGGAATTAAATGGTACGATAGAATAACTAATGTAGAACTTTGGGAGAGAACTAAAAAGACTCCAGTGGACTAAGAGGTGAGGAAAAGACACTGGCGTTGGATAGGACACACACTGAGAAAACAGGAGAACAGCATAACTAGAATGTCTTTGCATTGGAACCCACAGTGGCATAGGAATAAAGGAAGGCCAAAAAATACATGGAGAAGAGAGAGAATGAAGTTAGAAAGATGAACATGGGGAGTTAGAAAGATGGGGAGGACATGGGGAGAGCTCCATGCAATGGCGAAGGATAGAACAGAATATACAATTGCCCAGCAAACAAAGATCTTGCACTTTCAAGAATGGAAATAAATGACACAAACTGCCTTGTAGTTGGAATTTGTAGCATTGAAGTTAGATAAGTTGGGTGGTCTCTGTATATAGAGACATAGCTGGGAAATTTTGTTGGTTTTCATCTAGAGCTGCACAATAAAGCAATAGTCACACCCATTGAACATTTGTCATTGTAAATAAGCGCGCTGGCAGCTAGACGCCCACCTGTGGATCGGAAGGTCGTAGGTTTGCGTTTTGAGGGAGCAGGACATTTTTTTTTATAACCTTGACTCCCAGGTCGACACAGCTTTGAGTGGGCACCATGTGCAGTCCTGGGAAGTAAAGGCGGCCGGCATGATGCTGACCACTTCACTCACCAAGTGTCAATTGTCTATAAAAATGTCGGTCTAGTCCTATATTCCCAGTGTGCCTAAATGCTTGGAAAAAGCATCTTTACCTTTTTTTTAAATTGTATATAAGAATATTGTTACTACTAAAACACTTGGCAAGAAAAAAAACGCTTTGAAAATAATAAGCACGTATAATTGTTTTAATGTATTGCAATATCTGTAAAAATGCAAAATCAAAGATCAATAATAAATTTGTATTTAATATTCTAAATTTAGAGAGCAGTTTTTTTTAATGATAATGTCAGAATAGAGGCGTCCTAAGTAGAAAAGAAAGTCAGACATTTGGTGAAAAGAAAACCAGATAATTAAAATAATGATGAAGTTAGTGACAAACATTCTTTTCTGTTTTATTTATTAAGCTAACATTTTAAAGTTTTGTATTTATAACAATGATTTACATGCATGCTTTCAAAAGGTTGATGTATTTAATTAACCTAATAATTTTAGCTGGTACGGAATCTTCGTATAGTAGTACTCTGAGCTGTTTTTGACAACTGCTCGAGTACTTACTTACAAGTAATAGCTAGTGTTATCAGTGAAGCATTTAAAGCACTGAAAGTGCCTGTTTCTGATATTGAAAGTAATTTGTAAATAATGCAGGCACAGACAATACGTTGCACAGTTTATTGCAAAGCATATGTGGCTGTATTTGTTCAGGTTACTGCAGAGTTACAACATATAGTCAAGCAAACAACAAAAATAATTTGCAGAAATGCGAATGGTCTCTCTTGTTTTCATATAGTCATGTGAGTTACCAGTCTCAGCAATCGCCTGTTTGGTGTGTGGTAAAACACACATTGTTTTGTGTGTGTGTGTGTGTTTATATTCTTATATAGACGAAATCCCTCCCCCACCCCTCACCAGTTGGGTTTCACATTTTACCACATCTGTTTTGCAGATTTATTTAGGAACTTGAGATCTCTGATGTTGTTACTGTTCTAAAATATTTAACTGTTTTCAATATATATATATATTTTTTTCAATAACAATTCAGTATTGATAGAAAATTTGTTTTGTGTATTGTTTCAAATGTGAACATTTTACTTGTCTCCAGAACTAGCAGACAGTGAACAGTACAATGGATTTTGGGGCAAATCATTTGGGCAGGCCTGGCATTGGTTTAAGGAGAAGAAGAGAGCCTCATGTATAGCCTTGAATGCCAATCTGACCTATGTGATGTTACCCTGGCACAGAATCATTGCAGGTGAATTGATCATGGTTCTTCATTCTACAGATGATTACAAATGGAGTTATTATTGCTTACCAGACGGGTGCACAATTTCTCAGACTGATGCTGCAAGATGGTTAGGCTGTTTTTAAATTCTGACACAGTTCTGTAAACATTACTATCAACATTACTGAAGATTGGATACATAGAACAGCTGTGTGAGACTATCTAGAGGAGCTAGTTATGACAAGGCTGTTTTTTTAAATCAATAACATATCTGAAAAGCTTCCCAAGTTCTTTTAATTTTTGTTGTTGATTAGAATCTGTTATAGTGTTAGAATCTGTTATAGTGTTCTGTAGTGGGACAGATATGCATAGTGATTGTTGTTTCTGTGCAGCCTAATATCGATGTCCCTCAATGTTATATTTCTCTGGTCTGCTGTCTAAAGGTCTGTGACACTACTGAGTCCTTGTGAGCCACATTTTGGATGACAATCACATTGAAGGAAATCTGATTGTACCCTGTTGAACCTTGTGAGTCTATCACTAGGGACCCAATGACGGATGTTTGTTTGACCTTGAATAGTTTTGTTGCTGTGTAATAAGTTTGTGATTGAAGATGTGCGCTACACCTTGTTTTGTTTTTATTATATGGTGAGTACATAAAGAGGTGTTTATAAAATTAGCTTAGGATTGTACTTTACATTATGTCTATTCAGTACAATCCTGCTGAGGACACTGTCTTAGTAGCATAGAAAGTATGTAGGAACCACAGATAAACATTGAAAAAAAGCAGTTGTAGGAAGCAAGAATACTGGTCTCTGTTCAAATCAAGAGAAGCTGTCAGTAAAGGTAATACCCCAGAAATAAATACCATCAAAATATACAATACGTGAATTTAAAAAACAAAAATTGAGTTGGTGTTAAAAATAAATGTGTGCTAGCTGGGGACTATTAATAATAAGACATCAAGATCCCTGATGGGAGCACAGTTTTGGTCATGTTAACATTGTTCTTCTTGAGCCAGTTTGGTTAACAAGGTATTCCTCTATTTAAGTCTGCAGCAAATGAAGAAATAACAATTGGAAAATCTATATCCTCTTATTCTTATTGTGGACGCAAGACTTTCACAGGTGATCGCCATTACTGCCACTCTTCTTTTCTGTCCATGGTATTCCTTTTCGGTTTACACTCATTCATTTTTCTTTCTTATTTTCTTCTCTAGGTTTCCCTGGGTCATCCATGTCTCTTTTTTCCATCTGCCATCTATCAGAGAGATATCCATGCCAAAGTGTCATGAAGCATTCTGCAGACATTTTTTGGGTTCCTTTGATAACATTTACTAGTGACAAACATTATGTTTTTCCTCTGCTGTGCAATAAGTAGCAAAGCTATTAAAAGGGTCTCTCAGGCTAGAAGGTCAGAGGATAGAGAACAGACAGGGTGAGACAACAAGGGTCTCTCAGGCTAGAAGGTCAGAGGATAGAGAACAGACAGGGCGAGACAACAAGGGTCTCTCAGGCTAGAAGGTCAGAGGATAGAGAACAGACAGGGTGAGACAACAAGGGTCTCTCAGGCTAGAAGGTCAGAGGATAGAGAACAGACAAGGCGAGACAACAAGGGTCTCTCAGGCTAGAAGGTCAGAGGATAGAGAACAGACAGGGTGAGACAACAAGGGTATCTCAGGCTAGAAGGTCAGAGGATAGAGAACAGACAGGGTGAGACAACAAGTGTCTCTCAGGCTAGAAGGTCAAAGGATAAAAAACAGACAGGGTGAGACAATAAGGGTCTCTCAGGGTAGAGAACAGACAGAGTGAGACAACAAGGGTCTCTCAGGCTAGAAGGTCAGAGGATAGAGAACAGACAGGGTGAGACAACAAGGGTCTTTCAGGCTAGAAGGTCAGAGGATAGAGAACAGACAGGGTGAGACAACAAGGGTTTTTCAGGCTAGAAGGTCAGAGGATAGAGAACAGACAGGGTGAGACAACAAGGGTCTCTCAGGCTAGAATGTCAGAGGATAGAGAACAGACAGGGCGAGACAACAAGGGTCTTTCAGGCTAGAAGGTCAGAGGATTGAGAACAGACAGAGCGAGACAACAAGGGTCTCTCAGGCTAGAAGGTCAGAGGATAGAGAACAGACAGGGTGAGACAACAAGGGTCTCCAGGCTAGAAAGTCAGAGGATAGAGAACAGACAGGGCGAGACAACAAGGGTCTCTCAGGCTAGAAGGTCAGAGGATAGAGAACAGACAGGGCGAGACAACAAGGGTCTCTGAGGCTAGAAGGTCACAGGATAGAGAACAGACAGGGCGAGACAACAAGGGTCTCTCAGGCTAGAAGGTCAGAGGATAGAGAACAGACAGGGTGAGACAACAAAGGTCTCTCAGGCTAGAAGGTCAGAGGATAGAGAACAGATAGGGTGAGACAACAAGGGTCTCTCAGGCTAGAAGGTCACAGGATAGAGAACAGGCAGGGCGAGACAACAAGGGTCTCTCAGGCTAGAAGGTCAGAGGATAGAGAACAGACAGGGTGAGACAACAAGGATCTCTCAGGCTAGAAGGTCAGAGGATATAGAACAGACAAGGCGAGACAACAAGGGTCTCTCAGGCTAGAAGGTCAGAGGATAGAGAACAGACAGGGTGAGACAACAAGGGTATCTCAGGCTAGAAGGTCAGAGGATAGAGAACAGACAGGGTGAGACAACAAGGGTCTCTCAGGCTAGAAGGTTAGAGGATAGAGAACAGACAGGGTGAGACAACAAGGGTCTCTCAGGCTAGAAGGTCACAGGATAGAGAACAGACAGGGCAAGACAACAAGGGTCTCTCAGGGTAGAGAACAGACAGGGTGAGACAACAAGGGTCTTTCAGGCTAGAAGGTCAGAGGATAGAGAACAGACAGGGCGAGACAACAAGGGTCTCTCAGGCTAGAAAGTCAGAGGATAGAGAACAGACAGGGTGAGACAACAAGGGTCTCAGGCTAGAAGGTCAGAGGGTAGAGAACAGACAGAGCGAGACAACAAGGGTCTCTCAGGCTAGAAGGTCAGAGAACAGAACAGACAGGGTGAGACAACAAGGGTCTCCAGGTTGGGGGTTTAAGCGTGAGGCTGACACCCCTTACCTTTGTAAAATCTCATTTCACCACGAAATAAATTTCTAAGCCTCAAACCGGATGAATTTAAGCGGACTAAATTGAAGTACATAATGAGGTCAACTTCAAGACAGTGGAGAGAGAATGTAAAGTCGGACCTGCAAACGCTCAAGAGTCTCCAACTGGAAAGGTAAGGTCAGTCTCAGAGATGAACATAGTTGTGTGATATCTGTAGCAATTAACACAGAGACCTTGGAATGCTGAAGAAGAAGTGCCTGCTTTTGTCTCTCTTTCTGTCTCTTGCATTAGTACGCACAGAGTATAAAAACCATTGACTCATTGATGATATTATTTTGTCCCCAGATATTTTAGAAGAGAAACAGAAACCTGTTCTAACTCACTGACCAGGCCATTGAGAGTCATCAAATGTGGGTGTTCATATTACACATGCTTGTGATGGGGAAGTGTTCACCTTTCATATTACACATGCTTGTGACGGGGAAGTGTTCACCTTTCATATTACACATGCTTGTGATGGGGAAGTGTTCACATTTATTGGGAAACATATGAGCTTGTGAAAAGGACCAAAGATAATTACTTGACTGAGTTCTGTTTTATTTGTAAAGATAGACATGATGCTAAATGATGTTTTGTTTTACATGAATAACATTAAAATATTGATTTTGTGACATTTCATAAATTCATGATACCTGTTAATGAACTGTTTATTTGTGTACACATTTTGTCATTGATTCCTTCCTTAGACATATTGTTTTGATCTTATGGGGAAGCAAGCTTGCTGTCCCTCCTCCGCATGTTATGGCTTACATTATTTCTTCTTGTCCTCCACCGGCTGGAAACCCCGGTGGAAACTTGTGGTTGTTCGTTGACTTCTGGACTTTAAGTTTGTTCCAGAACCAGAGAGTTGAGTGCACACCCATTTGACAGATCTGGCTTATTTTTATGCAGACTCTTGATTCCGTGCCTCACAGGCAGATGCTGTCCGACTTTAAAGGATGGCTCAAATTAGTTGACTCCTACAACATGCTTATGGAAGAGGGGGGGGGGGGGAGGGGATTCTCTTGTTTTTCCGACAATGGCGCCCAAAACTATTCGAGGAGGCCTACTTTTGTGAAAGACTGACACTTGACACTTCATGGCAGTCTCTGCCGTTGGACTTCTTCTTTTGTCGTCTCACTGATACCAGGTAAGACCTAACTTGATTAGAACTCTAGACAAGTCTGAAACTTCTTCAGACACTTTTATCCACTCCTCTTCTCACTCAAATTTATCAAGCCTGCAGACATGTCAAATTGTGTATTCATCCAGGACTTTCCTCTTTTCATTCTGTGACCCTTAGCTCTAACCAGGGCTTCAATTAGGAGGTACTTCTTGTCTGCAGCTACTCTGAGATATGACTTTGCCTGCTGAACTTTAAGCCTATCTGCAATAGTAGGCAGAGTATATATCGCATTATGCTTTTGAGTTTTATCAGCTGACTCCTTGATACGGTAAGCATTTCAAGTCTATAATCTATCACTGACAGGATCACATGCTGGAACATTGTGAACAGCATTCTTTGTTCCATGACCATTGCTGCATCAATCTTGAGAGCATTGAGTCCTTTTTGGCAATTCCCCACAACTGCCTCCACGTGATCCCTATAGGACAGGCTTCAATTGAAAGTGATACCCAGGTACCTCAGTATGCTTTCTCTTTTGATGTTACTGTTTATTATTGTGAGGCTTGGAGCATTAGTTTTTACAATTCTGTTGTAAGACTTTTTTCATAAAACTTATTGTGTGATGATATTCACATTTTTAGGTGCCTGGTTTTTTTGGCAGAGCTATAAATATGGATTTTAAATGGTCATTTGGTATGTACCCACTATTATAAATATCATTTAAACGTTCCATTATTATTTCAATTCCAAAATCTCCCAGTGCTTCAGTTTCTTCCAGTGAGATGTTGTCTGGCCCGGGTGCTTTTCCTTTCTTCATGTAATGTAATGCATCTTCAACTTCTGCAGCCATTATTGGTGGACCATCATTGTTGGCCTGCAATTCTTCTTCTTCTTCTTTCGTTCGCATGAAATAAATTGTCTATATCTGCAAAGCTGTCTCTAGTATGAATTTCACTGTCTTTTGTAATTCACTAAGCGGCCCGTAAAGTTTGACTTCCACAAGTGTCTCTTTTGGCCAAAGGTTTTGCCTGAAAGCGTTGAATCTGGGACAGTCTTGAAGGATGTGATCTGTTGTTTCAGGTGCCAGTCCACAAGTACACATGGCTGATTGGCCAATCTTAAATTTGTTGTACATGTGGGAGCGAAGTCGATTGTGCCCTGTTCTAAGGCGAAGGATAATGACTTGCTCTGGTCTGTCCATAATATGGTAATCATCTTGTGCCAGTTTCGGTGGCATTCTGATTGATTTGATCATTCTCTTCTTCTGTTGATAAGAGACTGGTATGTTAGGTTGTTCTTCAGTTGCACCTTCCTTAGCCAGTTTATCAGCTTTTTCGTTTCCGGGAACTCCACAGTGGGAAGGTATCCACTGCATTACTAATTTACAGCGGTTGCCTAGTTCGGATAATAGTGTCCGTATGCTTGGTAATTTTCCAGACTGGAGTGACTGAAGTACTGCTTTTGCATCTGTCAGGAATACCACTGGTTGTGAAGAATACCCTGTATTTAGTAGTTTCTCTACCGCTATCTTGATGGCTTGAACTTCTGCATCATAGTTGTGACAGTGCTTTCCCGTTGGTAATTTGGCTGTATCCCTTGCATTATTAGGATACTCAATGTACACTCCCGCATCTCCGTTTCTGACTGCGCTTTCTGCTGACCCATCTGTGTAAACACGGACCCAAAGATTCTGCGGGTATTCATCATCAAGTAGACTGAGGGTGGCTGTTTTGCGCTGCACACTGTTTTGTTCTTCCTTGTCAAATACCCCTTTCACTTCAGTCTTGATGTGTATTGGTCCTGCAATTCTACATCTGGTGTTTTATCATCATACAATTCCCCTATATACTTTGTCCATCTGTTCATTATTTCACTATGTCCCATTAAAAGTCGCCAACTTTTGATTTCAAACATCCAGTGCTGTTACGTGTCATCTTTCCTGTTGACATATTTATCTGTTGAGAGTCTTTCCTGTTGTTTTCCCCAATCTCTGTACACATTTGATTCAGCCAGGCTTCTTAAGCCACTTTGCATTTATTCACTATTTCTTTTTGTATTCTAGAGTATTCTTCTTTATCATTATTTTTCTTCCTTCTTTCACCCATCAACTGCAGAATTTCGGTTGACATCCATTTCTTGTTTGCAACTCTATGGGTTGGTGGGATTGTCTCTTTAGATGTCTGCTGAATTGACTCACGCAACATATCCCACTGTTCCTCAATAGTCTGTATAATTTCCATTGCATTATACCGGTTTTGTACAGTGACATTGTACTGGTCCTTAATTTCTGTATCCATTCTAAGAATTCCTAAATTTAATTTGATGTTCTGTGGTGTTTTTCTAATGTTCTTTAGTTTTATTCAAATTTTTCCTACAACTGGAACATGGTCACTAAAGCAGTCTGCTCCTGGTCTAGTTTTTGCTCCAACTAAGCTGCTCCGGAATCTTCTTGAAATCAAAATATAATCAATTTGATTGCGGACATTATCACCAGGACTTTTCCAAGTCCACAATCTTTGAGGGTGGTGTTTAAACCAGGTGTTACCTATTATCATGCTGCGCGACTCAGCCCATGCTATTAATCTGTCACCTCTCACATTCTTTTCTCCTAGGCCATAGCCTAACATTGAAATCTCCAACTTCACAATTTTGGCATTGATCAACAGCCATGTCTAACTCGTCATAGAATGTGTCAATATCTTTTTTTGAATGATATGCTGTTGAGGCATGAATCTGTTCTAAGTTGATATCAAACGGTCTTCCAAATAGTACTCTGATTTTGTCCAAAATCCTTTCAAAGTTGTTGAGTTCTTTAGATCCAAAATAATACCAACTCCCTTACTATATTCCTTCCCTCCTGAGTAAATAATTCTGTGCTGATCTGAATACTTTTCTTCTGCTCCTGGCCATCGCATTTCACTAATTCCCAATATGTCGATGTCGTTCTCTTCCTTTCTCTCTTGATGTTATCCAACTTTCCATTTTGTACGTGTGTTCTGACATTCCATATACCTATGTTCAGGATGTTTCTACCATTTACTTTTTCTACAGTATCCGGGTGACGGTCGGGTATTACCCATAGAACATTATGCTCTCAACCGAACGAGGTGATTCCACTTAAATCCCCATTCACATCGTTATCTGAATTCTTTATGTTTTGAGGCATGATTTTCTAGGGATAATACAGCGGTGGTTTCCCCTTGCTAGTAGTATGGATAAAGATACTATTAATCATTTGCTGTTTTGCTGGAAGGGGAGACATTTGGGTGTCTAAGCAGTGGGGCTAACTGATGGGTGATAGCATTTGCCTTCTGTATTTTGGCTTCTATCTCTCTGTTGAGTCTGCCATCCTCCCTAAATATGCTTCCTATATATTTGAATTGTCGTACATGTTTGAATGTAATACTGTTAACATAAATGTTGATATTTCCTGCCTATCATTACCTCAGTTTTCATAGTGATTATTCTCTCTTTTCATTGGACTACCTTGAATTTTTTTCAGTAGAATAAAAGATCCTTTTCATGTCATGAGGCATATTGGATATATGGTGCTACAGCCATAGGTTTCAACTGATCAGCCCCTGATATTTGATATATGGTGCTACATCCATAGGTTTAAACTGATCAGCCCCCGATATTGGATATATGGTGCTACATCCATAGGTTTCAACTGATCAGCCCCTGATATTGGATAAATGGTGCCACATCCATAGGTTTCAACTGATCAGCCCCTGATATTGGATATATGGTGCCACATCCATAGGTTTCAACTGATCAGCCCCCGATATTGGATATATGGTGCTACATCCATAGGTTTCAACTGATCAGCCCCCGATATTGGATACATGGTGCTACATCCATAGGTTTCAACTGATCAGCCCCCGATATTGGATATATGGTGCTACATCCATAGGTTTTAACTGATCAGCCCCCAATATTGGATATATGGTGCTACATCCATAGGTTTCAACTGATCAGCCCCCGATATTGGATATATGGTGCTTCATCCATAGGTTTCAACTGATCAGCCCCCGATATTGGATATATGGTGCTACATCCATAGGTTTTAACTGATCAGCCCCTGATATTGGATATATGGTGCTACATCCATAGGTTTGAACTGATCAGCCCCCGATATTGGATATATGGTGCTTCATCCATAGGTTTCAACTGATCAGCCCCTGATATTGGATATATGGTGCTACATCCATAGGTTTCAAC